TAGATACGCCACTGACTTACATGGCCAGATGAATGAAAATACTCAATCGATGTGCCACCAAATTGTAACCAGCCTTCACCATGCCCTCACGATGTCTCCGGGGACGCAACTGCTAAAAACCTATTTTTGGCAGCGAGGACGCTACCAATAAACAATCAACAAACTACCAGGCTTCTGGATTGATTTGCAAGGTACTACATGGCTCAACTATTTTTTACTTAGGGGTTAATTGGTAAAAATCGCACGCAAATCATACGACGTCACTGACATCGCCGGGGACGGCAACTCGATTTTGGGATTAATTTTCCGAATTAAGTTATACTAAATAACTTCTAATGACAACCTATTGTCTTCAGTTGTCTTTGTTGGTCATTCAACTGTCGTTTTATCTATTTTTTTCGGTGATATTTTCGTCGGAAGGTATCAAGATGATAAACAAGTTTCATTAGACTAAAATCTTGCTTATGCCACTGCGGTGGGGTTCCAGGCAGCCACGGATATTTGACGAATTATGGCGAATTTTTATTACTTATTTGATAGGCATCGAGCTACTATAATATGACTTCATGTAGGCTATGTTTTCTAATGTCGAAATCAGCTTCCGAAACCAAAACATTTTGAATAAAACAAGAAACAAAGAGTTTGCAATGTAACCATCTAATTTCCTTACAAATCCTCTTTCTTTAAAGTGAAATTCTACATTATGGAAATTTTGCACGAAATCTGTCAACCACGATGTCAAGGTCGAGGTTGCTTCCCCTATCTCGATGTGTTCCAAGCATCATGAGGCTATCCAAACGAGCATTTGTCATAACATAACGCAAAATATTTTAAATTAGTGTCATTGAACTATTATTTTATTATTATTATTATTATTATTATTATTATTATTATTATTATTATTATTATTATTATTATTATTATTATTATTATTATTAGGCCTATTATTATTATTATTATTATTATTATTATTATTATTGGCGCCACCATTGGATTCAATAATATGCTGTATCTGCTTTGCTATTTTCTATAGGTGAATAGGACCTAATTGTAACTTTAGAGGTGAATATTTATTACTTCGTAATTTGCATAACGAATTATTTATAAACCATGCTTCCTACGATGTCATTATTTAGATATAATGGCACTCGACTTCAACGGTTATTTATGCCTATATATAATTGGAAGTAAAAAACATTATTTAGATATAATAACCTTGGCACAATAACACGTGTGCATTACATATAATGAATTTGAAGTCCAAGCATTATGGTTTTGCGACAGCTATTATTATATATAATGAAATGTAAAAGCAGTTATTTGTAAATAATGAGTTTGAAGTCAATTCGTTATTTATATATAATGAAATCAGTGAACTTCTTATACAAATAATTGTAAGTTACTTTTCATTATTTATATATAATGATTTGTTACCTTTTCATTATTTATATATAATGGAATCAGTGAACTTATTATATATAAATAATTGTAAGTTATTTTTCATTATTTATATATAATGATGTATTTCCCCTTCCTTATTTATATAATAATGAAGCCAGTATTTATATATAAAAATAATGTTTGGTTAGCCTTTCATTATTTATATATAATGTAATCAGTAAACTAATTATATATAAATAATGAAACGTTAACGAAATTATTTACATATAATCTTTTAGACGTAAACGCACTATATATAAATAATGGGTGATCTAGTCAATTATATGTTAAATAATGAATTATATATAAATAATTGTGTTAAATAATAAATTTACACTTGGCGCCTCATACATTTGTACCCCCTAGAGACCCGAAATGAAATAGTAGACTCCAAACAGACGTAGTGCGGTTATGGAGATCGAACATGCCCGAAGCCTGTTTTGGCATACTTATAATTGAAAAGTCGGGCGAACAACATAACCAAAGAACACACTACTGTAGGCCTACTCTAGCATGAGTGAAGAATACTATTCGTGTCCATGGTAATTTGAATGTGCATTCTTTGTATGTGCCATAACATAACTGAGAACATTTCATGATCGTGGCTTATAGAATATAGGCTAGGCCTAGGATAGTACTGTACTACAGTACTATTACAGTATTATTACAGTACAGTACTACTGTAGTAATAATTGTAGGCTAGGCCTAGGCCCTAGCCTATTGTACAGTCATGTGCTCTCTAGCGGCACCCGGTCCGGAGGCCTCTCCAGGCCTGCTAGCAGGCCTAGAGAGTGTCTTATTTCAGTATTAGTTATCTGTTATGTGTATTTATGTGTCTCTGTCACCCTATTCATTTCAGTTATGTAATATGTCACATATAATTTTTAAAATTATTGTCTAATTTTAAAATAGACCTAGGCCTACAGTAGGCCTATCAGCAATAATTATAAATGAAATGATAATGATATGCAAAAATAAGAAAATACTGTATTTTTAATTCATTTTAAATATACACTGAATTATTTTAAGCTTTTATTTTTAATATTATATATTGTTTATAATGTGAATTGTATTTTATTTAAATATGTTTTACTTTTTAATCTTTTGTACCCAAGCCCCAAGGGAGACCAATCTACTTGACTCACAGTCACAGTCACATAATTACAGACATAATCAATAATTATAACTAAAATTAAACACTGAAATCAAGGCCTATGGAGACACATAATTACACATACAACAGCCAAGAAATAATACTAAATAATAAATGGCAATACACGGCCTACAAAAACTGTTTTACCCGGCATAAACCGTATCTCACCACACACAGTAATACCCAACACACACTTCATAACAAACACCCATTTTTAGAATGGTATCGCCCATATAAAATTTGGTGGCCAACTTGTATACGTGATCCACAGCGATTACGAAAAATTGACATGCTGTCATGATAAATCACATTGGTTGGTACGTTACTCCCTGATAGGCCCATACCATACATATATGTCAGTTAAACTTTCCTAAGTCGACTGTGCCTAAGTCGAATAATAATCGAAAGTTGATCTTATTTTACATGCTAAATTGTTGTGTTTTCTATAAATTAACGATCTGTAAGTCAAATTTTATCAAAGTTGAACAACATTTCAATGGCATTTGGGATTCAACTTTAGGCAAGTTCAACTGTAGACCGATAGGCTTGATAGATCACACAGACAGTGAGTGAACAGAGTGATGTGATAAATAATAGTAAGATTATAATAGGCCTATGAAAATGAAAATAACCACCAGATTATGCAGTACCTTAAGATAAAAACTTGTCGTAATGGGAAAATTTAAGGGAGTATAGGCCTCAAATAGATGATCAACAAGCATAATCCAAAGAAGAAGCCCATCTTGACTTGAAGCCACCTCTTTAATATGCAAAAGTAGCCTTGAAAAGAAGCCCATGGGCTTTTCCTCAAGAAACATGGGCTTTTTTTTTCGAGGTAGAACAGTACATGCTCTGTACAGTACATGAAGTCCAAAAACAAAATAAATTAAAAGCATGCTTGGTTTATAAAGTAGTTTCAGTGATTTAATGCCAGTTAATACACTCCATGACACATTAGAATGTAATATAAACAAGTTTTTAATTTATTACGACTATCATATTTGCAGAATAATTAAACTGACAGAAAAAGTAACATTTTGGTGCTAGGCCAAAGAATGAGGCCTCTCCAGCTATATCTTCGCCTACTGAAGACCCATCCTTACAAGACTCAGGCCACAGTTACAGGTTAGTCCCCAGTTAAAGGTTTACAAAAGTGATGTAAAACATCCTAAAATGGAATTTTGATGCTATTTTGCATCTAAGACCAAAACGACATGAATGGCCACAGCCTATCAACATTTGAAGCTAGATTACTGTATCTTTTGAAACTAATAGTGAGTGTGCTATAAAGCATAAAAGCATACCCTGGTTATTCTACTTGACATTACAAATGGCAAGTGAGCCACTCAACATTTGTAATAATTTAAAAAGCAATTGTCAAATACAGCGGTGGAGTCCTCTAAGACATAAAATAAGAAAAATCTCATGTACATTTTCATACATTTTATCAGGTACTGAGCAGTGTTCTGCTGAAGCCGTTAGTTTGTAAAATAAAATAAAAATACTGATATAGGCCTAGGCAGGTAGGTTAAATAAATGAACATTATTCCAGCCTAGGCGATCACTGTTTGTGGTGTTTTTTTTTTGTTTTTTTTTAAAAACGTTACACCACACTCAAATGGAGTAACACTGCATGCATAGCTGAATTTTTTTTGACAAATTTTACCAGAAAAAATTTTTCAGTTGGGAGAGCAGCTTAGCTCAGTTGACCAAAAATTAATGGTAGTGACTGAATTTTCTGAACTGTGGAGATTTTCTTATTGTTACATTTATTGTGGCTATTATTTATTTGATATCAATTTTTATTTTCAGGTTGTCTTTTCCTAGTAGCGGATATTATTTCGCAACAGCTCATTGAAAAAAAGGGACTTAAGTCTCATGATGTTGTGCGTACTGTACGTCAAACAGCATTTGGGTTTTTATTTACGGTAATTAGGCCTCATTTATTATTTACAGTATGCCTCCAATCGCCAAATGCAAGCATTAAAATGATAAAAATATGAATATCAAAATTAAAAAGTGAATAACAATTGGAATTCGGGATACTCTTTTATGTGTTTTACATATAAACAATCAGGGGCTGTTTCAGAGATGTCCGAAAGGTGGGGGAGAATGGGGGACCAAAAGTGGGGCCGATTGAGATAAGACTATCCTAGGGTGTCTGAAATTTTTGTGTTCTAGACACCGAAAATAACCTCTCAGGTGTTTTGGGCGAAACAATTGTACATAGAATATACTGTATATGATTTTAAAATTAACATTTGAATCGCATATTTACAGGGTCCTGTTCTGCATAAATATTATACAATTTTGGAAAAATATGTTGGTGGACATGTCATGATTCAACCAATCAAGAAGATGATTATAGATCAGGTAAGAAAACTGATTTGGCATTATTTGATTGAAATATGATCAAACTTTAGGTTGTTTGGTATAGGTATACAGTATGATGTACCAATGTAATTGCCATATATGTCATTTAATATATAAATTTGCTTTGTGAAAGGTAAATAATGAAGAGAACTTGGTGACAGTAGAAAGTGAAATCAAATTGGATTTACTTTTCAAGTGATTTTTTTTTTCAGACATGTTTTGCACCGGCGTTTATTTTTACATACTTCACTGTGATTGGATATACTAGTGGAATGAACACAACTGAAGTTAAAGAAAAGTTAAAAAAGGTTTTTTTTATATATATATATATTATAATTACGCTATGTTAACCATTTTACAGTCTTTTGCCAAAAGAAATATACATGTTTATTTGATTTTAGTACCGTATGTCATACAATATAACAAAAATTCACTCCTCACACTTTGTGAGTTGAACATAACTTAGTTAAATTTCATTCCAAATTATACATATTCTACAGAGTACCCATTTGTCATCAAAAGAGAAAAAATAAAGACACATGTACCATATTATTTTTACTTCTTTCTTTGTTATCTTTCAGGATTATAAATCTACACTGCTTGTAAACTGGACGGTGAGATTACAATATTCATGATAAAACCTTTGTTTATTCTTGCAGGCATGCTTAATTGTAGTAAACATACACCTTAAGTGTGGTAGAAGGAAATAAGTTTTTTATACAGTATTTTAAAACTTTCTTGGGTTACCCTTGTAATTAATGTCTTATCTGTTCTTAATTATATATCTGTTCTTTGTTTTATATTTAAGAAATGTTTTGTGATTTTAATTCCTGAATAAAATGAAATGACTATTGTATCCCTTTAAGGGAAAACGCTCATGGCGCCCCTCCACAAGAAGTCAAAATATGACAAAAAAGAAAAATCATGGAACCAGATACAGAACCAGAAACCAGTTATATTACATGGGTGAGCGTCACTCTGTGTAGCCATGTACGCACAAATACTCCACATAAAGTGGTATGCTGGGCTGCAATAGTTTCCACCTTTGGCCTGTGCCTCAGGCTTGGTTATCGTGTTGTGATGTTAAATTCACCCTATTCTTTTTTTAATTTTTAGGTCTGGCCATTTGTACAAATATGCAATTTCTACTTTGTGCCTCTTCAGCACAGGTATGTATGTACATAATAAAGTCAAAATAAATTTTTATGAATGACTCATGTTACCTGATTTTAGGTTACTACAGTATACAAGGGCGGATTTAGGTGGGGGTGGGCCAGCCTGGAAAGTTAAAAAAAAAATTGATTGCTCAAAATGCCTCAGAGGTTATTTTCAGGCGTCTACAAAACAAATATTAGGGTAGTGTTGTCTCGGTCGGCCCCACTTTCAGCTATAATCATTTAAAATTGTTTAATTATTAAGAGCAGTGTTGATTTAACAATGAGGCATGTGACCTTGTGTCCTGAATCAATTTATTATCAATGAATAGCTTAAAAATTTACTGGCCCCAAGAAATTCAGAAAGAAAAAAAAAAATGAAAATAACATTTTGAATTTCAGTACTATGCATTTAAAGAACCTATAAGTTGTTAAATCATTCACAGGTCAAAAAAAAGTTAATGCCTCTGGAATTTTCTTTTTTTTTTAATTTGTAGAGTGATAACTGCAAACTCTGTTGCTGTAGTATGGAATACATACCTGTCATGGAAAGCTAATGCTGTGAAGAAAGATGTCGCATAGCAAAAGATGAATTAAAATTACCTTCATCAGGTATGATAAAAATATAGTATAAACAAAACCAAACCTGATGGCAAGTGCACAGTAGTTGGTTGGTTTAACATCGTGGCTATATTTTCTATTTTTATGAATTTAACTCATATGGTGTGGAATAAGATAATAGCATTTGCGTTGCCAAAACTCGACCAAAACGAAATCTGTTCCAAAAGGTCACTTTACTTCAATGCAGATTTTAGCCCTACCAGCCAAAATGTTAGCAATTCTAGAGACATTTAGTGAGAAAAACACTGATGACAAACCATCCATGATGTTTAAATATTTATCCTTGTGCAACACAACAAATTTTATTTATCTTATTAATTGCAGATAATAGTTGGTTGGTAAACATTTAAATTATCCTTCTATATGTTTTTACAATAATTTAGCTCTTCATTCTGCAACTGTATTGAAGAAGAATAAATCCTCATTAAACAATCAGTCTTATTTAAAATTATATGCTGGATATATGCTGGATACATATTGTTATGTAGGCCTAGTTGTATAGACCATTTTATCGGATTTATTTTGAAATAGCACCGCCAACATCTCGCAACTCACTAGGGGGCTTCCAGCGGCCTAGCCTGAGCAGCTGGCTAGTTTCATTAGAGCATCTCGCAGTGGATAGCGCTGCTAGACCTTTGCTACGGCAGCAGTAGACAACAGATACGATCTTGCTAATAACTGTACAGTAATTACTGTACAATATATGGAAACATTGAAATAGTCTTTTAAGACTTGGACTTATTTTTAATATAAACATTTTATGTTTTTTCTGTTATAAAATATTTGTGCTCGTTAGTAATTTAGTTTTCATTGTTGATTTAATCCATGATGGTAACTACGTAGAGCTAAATGCTAGGCCTCTGAAAGTCCCCCAGTGGTAGTTGGCAGGTTATAGGAAATTTTCATTAAAAATTTCGTGAAAATTGTCTATACTGTATGTTAGAGATTTTAGCAATACTGTATTATACTGTAGTGATTTGGTTTGCTTTTACTGTATACAGTAGTGTAACTATTCCCTCCATAGTAGTAAAGTATAAAAAAATATTCTTGCCAATGAATGAACAGGACAGTAACTGACAATTTAACTAGCTGTTTTTAGATTTTATTATTTGGTAGTACAATAATAAATAAATGATAATGTTTATACATTTTGTTTGCAGAATGTTGAGTAGGGCCTTTTAATGTTGCATTATTAAACTTATTACAATTTGCATGGAAAGCAAGATAGGGCTAAAAATATGAGCAAACAATTTACTATAATTTTCCAAGAATTCCATATGAATATATTCTATCAGTAATGAAAATATTAGTTTATAAAAAACCAAATCCATCAATTGAATAAAAACCTACCAATGAATGTAACTGATACTGATATTTAATACATACTCCAAGTATTGAAATGGCAAATGCATGCCATCCAATACTTGGAGTATGTATTATACTTTCTTATCTGAGATTAATCAGTGGACTTTTCAATATCCTAATCTGTTGTGAGATAATCTTAAATTTTGTAATGCGATGTATATAAATGGAGCATTATTTATTATCATCTGTATTAACTGTAAGAAGTTCACTACTTATTGTATTAATAAATATCTATTAACTATTAATATACTGTAGATTGTCCAATTATTTCAGTCTTAGAAGACAGTCAAGACAGCCTTGAAAAAAACTTTAATACAGTACATATGCCTAATTATTTTTATTTAGTAGTACAGTATGTTTAACCAAATAGGGAAGCAATTTTATCAAGAGGAATGTGTGGCCCTGCTGCTTACATAAAAAAAACTATTATGACAATATCCATTTAACTAGGTATATAATACTATGTCCACCGGAGGCAAACACAAGACCACTCTCTGGAAAAAGATTCCAGCCATCCAGCCAATCTTTGCATCTGGCTGCTGTGTAGCTTGAAGATCGGCCTAGAATATATGTGTAAGGATGTTTCCATCGTGTCAGTATTTTATGGTTGTTTTTGTATCGTACAAGGACATCATTATCACCCGACAGAATAAAATAAAATTTTAGTCCATAACCTAAAAGAAGTTGAATGTCTGTGTCAGATGAAATAAATCTGTGAATGAAGAAAAAAAAAGATAGTACTGCATTGCTTGGTTTACAGTGTAAAATTACACCAAGGATAAACCAAGAAGTTCAAATAGGGTACTTCTGATAGCAGGTTGGACAGTATCATGAAGGCCCATGAAGGGACTTTCACAGAAGAAGGTGTATACCGTCTCACCATTGTTGGGGCTGAGATTTATGATTAAGCATCGCCAGATGACCAGAAATGGCCCCCTTGAATCTGCCACTTATCCCTTATTGTTTCCCGAAGAGTGCAATACTTTCTTTAAAATTGAACATATAATCATTGAATTATCTCAACTGAAAGACGTGCTATTGCAAAATGTATTGGAGCCTTAACACACTGATTGGATTTGAACCAGTGACCAAAGATCTAATATTCCTTGCTGAGGGCAGTAATTGAGAACACAAGACCACTGGCTCGACTGAAAGATGGCATGTTATTGGAACTTGCATTTCAAGCAAGGTTTCTCTGCACTTTAGTGCACACCCAGTGGCTACCACCAGTTTAGCTTACTGAGCTATGCTGCTCATATAAATGATATAAACAACTGATATGAAATTTGATTTTTTTTTTATCAAATCATCTCTTTTCCAACCACAGCTGTTAATTTCATCCACATACAATACTGTACTTACCAATTCTATGGACTACAGTAATAAGAATTTGATGACTTAGCTTTCACTACCTATAATTGACATATTTTTTTTTGATTGACACTTGACTTAAAAACTTTATCTATATCAGCGTGTGAGTCAATCGTACCACATTCTGTTTCTATATAGTTTTTTTGCATGAAAAACACCGCCTCTTTGAACATAGATAACAACATCTTTAATTGTACAGAAGCATATTTACCTTTCATATTGTAGGTTTTGAAAGTTCCATATATGGATTCCCCTTTGACATGCACATACAACTTTGGAACCATCAAATTGAAGATGAGGTAGAAGGGGGTAAGTTACAGCTTTGTGGCCAGCAGGCACATGTAATGTTCCTAGACAATTGTTACTTTCACTTGATATTGGCCACACCTACAGTAGGGGAAATGGAGATAATGACACTAATGATTATGTATTAGGCGAGAATTTTGTTATACCTTGATTTTATTTTTTTAAAGATCATCAGAAGAGGGTGGAAAAAAAATAAAATAAAATTTTGTTATTTGATTTAGCAAATAGTTTTGCCAAAAACATCCAGACGGGAGGAGAAAATAAAAATAAAATGTTATTGGTGAATGTAAACAGTGTAGTAATGGGATGGTTAAATGCTTTAAATTTATATACCGGTAATTAGGCAGGAATATACATATCTTATTTTAAAGCAGTGCTGGGCATAATAAAATAATTGGCCAAAATAATAATTGAATATTAATAATTTATCATAATTTGTCTAATAGTAATACTACTGTACATAGCAAGCACATACTTGCCTTGATAATATTATCTCTATCCATTCCCAATAGCACTAAAGCTCCTTCACAATGGGAAACTGAATCCACAGAGCTATTCTTTAGCATCACCTGAAATGAAATCAAATATAAAATAGATGCATTTTATTTAGACTAGTCCACAAAAGCTGTCAAAAAATACCTAAATAGAAATGTTGGTGTCAATATTGAGTATTTGTGGGAAATTGAGGCTTGATACAGGTAGGGAGAGGGCATCTGCCTGCAAATGCCCTTTCCTCACACACTAAAAATTCTGTAAATATTTTCTCCTACTAAAATCCTGAATGTTAATTGAGAATAGGAAAATATTCCAAATGTACACTTTTTAAAACTGAAAAGTTTTCACATTTGGTGGATTCTATACAAGAATGATAGTACAACGATGTGCAGGAGTCAATTTAGGACCCTGGATCCAATGCTGACTACACAAGTTATTTAGCAACTCTATCAAGAGCCTACCTTTGTGACCCAGTCTTGATGGCCATAAAATGTATTAAGACATTTGTCTGATTTCAGTGACCAGATTTTAACTGTTTTGTCTGCTGAGCCACTCACTATTATTTCAGCAGCAACATCAAAGTCTATGCTAGAAACTGAAAAAATATGTACATAATAGGGAACATTTAAGCAGGCCTTAATTTAATGAATGTTTTCATAAAACAACTGAACAGGATAATAATCATTAATATCATCTTACAGGGATGTAGTTATGGTGGGCGGGGCCACCCAGTCTGAACTCATTTCATGGCCCACATCCACTCATTAACCCACTTTTCCATCCTTAAAATCCACTCTTATTATTTTGAGTTTAAGTTTTAATGTTATCAATGTTTAATGAACCTGGATCTGAAATGCTTTATCACCCACCCTTAGTTTTCTACAGCTACATACCTGATCTAATTTGCTATCAATGTCATTGTCCCAGTTTGGGCATCGTCACGGTTCTTGTCGTCATCATCATCGTAATCATTTTAATTGTTTTTAACAGTTGAGCTATAAATTTTTTAGCATTTACATATTACTTTATTAATATATATAAATTAAAAAAAACAATACTGTACATGTTATATTTTTTAACTTCTGTGACAGTACATAAAAACTAATGAGGCTTAGGGAGTGGTGTTGTGTGTCACTGTCACTGAAAAAAAAAATACATTTTTTTTACCTAGCACACTGTTACTGGAAGGCAAGTTGCAGCTATATTCTCTCTAGTTTGCTATCAAGAAAAATCCTACCTACACTTGTGTGCCCAACATACATCCTAATGTTACGACCTGTCTCCATATTCCATAATCCAACAGAACAATTGAAAGAAGCAGTTACAAGAGTGGTTTCCTCAAATTTGAGATCTGCACAGCTGTGTGTCTGGATGATCTTCTCACACCTTCCATTATGTATATTCCATATACAAACTGACAAATCATCTGATCCTACATTTAAACAAACAGGGGGCTGATTGTGTGAGGGGATAATTGGGAGAAGGGGATAAGGTTAAGTTGAAGAGGAGGCATTAGCTGATAAAATATGGTGGTATGCGGTGATTTTTAATTAATATTTTTTGCTCAGCACATTTCCAGTGGGCAGGATGGTTGGATGTAATGGTTTATGGTCATAAAATCTGTCAAAATTATAAAAATTTACAATTTGAATTTTAATAAAACATATCAACTTTCACTAAGACAGATTAAATTTTATACTATTGTTTTTTCCCTTAAGACAGACAATATATCATATTTTTAATCTATATTTCTTTATTTATATACCTGTCAACTTCGCTGGCGTCCGATGCGCAAGACAAACAAAAATGTATTTTGTATATAGCGCTCTCTATGTAAGAATCACAAAATAATACAGCACCCTCTACGCTATTTTTTTTCAATTGTATTAATCGAACTGCTACTGATTACCATCGTCAGTGGGTAAAGCTTTGTTAAAATAAATATATATATATGGCCTGTAATCACATTTTAATGACAAATTCACTTCATATTTATGAATTTTAGGGTATACATTTTTATGATGCATGAGATAATACAACATTGGCATGAGACGTAGAAAGTGGTTGCTCGTGCGTGAGACTAACGCATTAGGCGTGAGAGCTGGCAGGTATATATTTAATTTATATATAGAAGTATAGGCCTACAAATTTCAATTACAAAACCTAATTGATTTTTGACTAATTTTATTATTGAAAAAATGGGTTATGTGTATGTTTTCAGAAACGAGTTCTGCCGTTTGTATTCACATATTTTTAAGTCTAATTTAACAAAATTAAATAAAAATAGGTGGATTGTTAGAAAACCCACCTGAAGCTAGATATCCATCTGCATGGTAGAGTGCAGTGATTCGCTGTTTATGCCCATGTAACTCTTGCGTTGAGAAGGCAGTTCCGTCTTTCAGAGACTTCAGCTTATATGAAAAGTAGTGGGACATTCTCTTCCAATAGCTGGCACTTTTTTCAAAACCACCATATTTCATGTTTAGGCCAAGCCTTCCACATGCATCCAGCCAGACATCTAAACAGCCATTTATGACACAATTCCAGTGTTTACTCACAAGGCAGCATGTATTCAAAGAATCAAAATCCAGCCACTTGATGAGTTGATATGAAAGTTCAAGGGGTAGCAATTTCAGAAAGTCTCTCTTCACAAAGTTTGGAAGTTCTTTGGAAAGGTAGTGCAACTGAATAGGTCCACAGACTTGGATAAGTGAGTCCAAGGCATGACATTTCTGCACATCTGATAGTTTTCTAGAAAATGAATGCAAAGTTGTATCTAGCCACTTATTGAACAGTTTATTTTCCATTTTTCCTTCAAATCATCTAAAAAACAAAGAGACTTGAGGAGTTATGAAGGGTGGAGCAAGTCAAACAATTCCATTACTGGTAGTACACATACTGTAAAATATTTTAATTGAGCGGATGATACATCAAAAACTAGCTCACAATTGTGTGGAAAATCACTTCTCCGTGATAGTGTGTAGCCTAGGCTAAAAAATATGCTGCCATCCTTTATGAATTTATAAATCATTAAATTTATAATCAATGAATTATATAGTACTAAATTAGATATAAAAAATGTATATATGTATATTATATACAATTGTGATTTGCCTATCCGCACTGTTAAGGTAGGCCAGGAAGGTGTACAACAGGAAAGCCTCTAGTAGTAGGTGTTCTTGGTTTGTTATATGTCTAGGCCAAGCCGTCCAACCACCGAGTCTAGCGCGCTTCTATCCGCCTCAATCAAGCCCAATGGCTAGTGTTAGGATAAGCCTAGTACAACTAGGCCACTACCCTTAGATAGATCTAGGCCTAGATAGTAGGGCCTAGCTAGGCTAGGACTAGGTCCCAGCCCAGAAGGAGGGTAGGTAGGAGCCTAGCTAGGCCTAGATAATTCATTTCATGATGTTACATTTTCCATAACTAAAATATTACAAAATCCCACAAAAACCACACCATTATTCAAAACTCACATATTGCGCTAGGCCTAGCCAACTAAATATTATTAGCCAATTTAGATTTCCTAAATTCTATGAACGCGTTATCAACTTCACATGTTCGCTGTTTTTGTTTTGTATTTTTTGCACCTTTGACCTTTGACACTCTTCAAAATAAATATGGAGCGCAGTGCACCACGAAAAGGACCGTCACTAAAAATAGGTCTTCAGATTTTCGTGGGTTATCCTTGGTGTATAAACCCATGTTTATTCCTTTCTTATACTCCCATGTGTATTCCTTGGAATAAACCCATTAATCCCCGTCCAATATAATAATATAATTATAAATAATATAATATAACAGTAATATATATATATATATATAGGCCTAGGAC